ACCACAAATGGGGAAAAGTTTTGTTAAACAGTGGGATCTTTTCTCTGAGGGTTGTCCGTCTCCATGGTAACAGTCCATGGGCTGCAGGTGAGAGGTAGGGAGGGTCTACCGAGGTGAAGTTAGCAGGGCTGTAAGCAGTGGAGCTATCAAAGACATTCATTTGTACACGCTGTATGTGATTTAAGAGCAAACTATACTGTTGCTTCCCTAGTTTACTCTTCTGTATTGTTTTAAAGACACAGGGCTCAAACTCCTATACAACGGCAGCCTTTCTGTCTGAAAGCAGCAGTTTGGAAATTGTGCATAACTTTAGTTAGTGTCAGTGCAGCCCAAGGAATCACAGATATTAAGGGATGGTGCTGCACATCTCTATCAGCTGCTGCATGGCCAGCAGTGCATACTAAACACCACCTCACTGTGGACATGCCTGAATGCAAAAACATGAGGATTACCGGGGATGAGGGGAGAATTCCATTTAAAAGATATGTGATCTGACAGCGTTACAAAATCAGGCTTTCTGTTTCCCTTTAGGCTATTAAATGTGACCTTTTCACTGCTCTGAGTTGTGTATTGATCAGCCTTTGATTTGGAATATTTTTGTGCTATTTGTCTCATACCTATGACCTCAAAGAGCAAAAGATTTTATTATGTTGACCACTCCTACAGCGTTGTACAGAAGCCCCTGTTTCATTACAGCCCTGCCCAGACAGAGGAGTCCCTTACCAGACATGAATGAGACTCACTTGGGCGTGAGGCGGGGGTCTCCGTAGGGTGCATAGGGAGACATGTTTAAGAGGAACTCCTTGGGTGGGTAGGAGCTCCACCTCTGTTGGACATTGCTGCTGTCATTGTTATTCCAAAAGTCTCTGTCTAGATCGCTGTAGCCAGAGAGAAAGCAAAAGGTGAGACAGGTGAGAGCAGTAAACAATCACAGACATATATAAAGAAGAGAAAACAAAGCAGATCTCGAGAAATGTTGATAAATAAATTAAAAAGAAAATCTAAAAAGAAAAATACTCTTTTTAAATACTTTTAAAATAAATTTAACATGAATTTGGCTACAGGATGACTACAAGTTTATGGTCACCCAGTATCATGAAAAGTGGGTCGAAACGCTCAGAAAGGAGGAGGATGGAAGGACGTGACCTGTGTGTTTTATCACGCTGTCAATGATGAGGAAACAAAACAAAGGAGATAAGGAGGCAAGGGAGAAAAGTCAGTATGAATTTAAAACACCAAAAAAAACCAAGTCAGGTATGCACTCAGAATAAAAACGTCAAAGGAAATAGCTCAAAAAAGCTAATAGATTTGTGGCAAGCTGTTAGCGTCACCCTCTTGTATTCAATAATGCTTAATTATATTTGAAACAGGGGCAGAAGTATATTCATAGCTGTCGATATCCTAATCTTAACAATTAGCTTAGTGTGCTTATTTCTATTTATTCCAACTAGAGCAAACGGTGAGCAGGCTGTTGCTATGTCAAAAAAATTGGGGAGGGGTTTAAATATAAGGTAAAGACCATTTACCATAATGCAGCCTTTGATTTACATCAGCAGACCAGGAGGTCAGAACATGATTTTCAAAGAGTGATCTAAAAATAGCAGCAATGTTGGAAGTGGTCCAGAGCTGCCCAAGGACAAATTTAAATCAGGTAGTTTTTTTTTATGGGCACAGTAGCAGCGTCACACATCGTATATATATATATATATATATATGATAAATGCTCACTATCTTTAGGGCATAATTTCAGGGAAAGCATTTGAGTCCACGCACAGAGCTACAAGATTAGTTTGCAATCACAAATAGCTGTTTAAATGTGATACTATCACCACATCATACATTATTCCCACGTGCCCCCATCTACTCCCTCCCTGACACCTACTTGATGGCTTTATTTTCCCCTCGACCTCTCACTGAATCTGGAGAGCTGGCAGCCTCCATCCCGGGCTTATTCCTCTTCCCCTGCAAAGACACGAGAGAGACAGAGAGAGTAAGAGGGACACACATCTTAGAGGCGTGTTTCTCATCGTTTATAAAGGCATCTGTACAAGTCAAGTGTTCATTACTCAGGTTTTTAGAATAACATCAGGTTCCAACACATGTTGTAAAATGTAATAAATGAGGGAAGAGTGCACACTGGTTTGATGCCAGGGACCACTTAACTAAAATGAGATGCAAATACACAATCTCACATGCATGATACATGGGCAAAAATGTTTTCGCACACAAGAAGCACACACGCAGACACACACACACACAGCGCAGCTGCAGGCTACATCAGACTTAAAGTGAAATCAGACACATTAAGATAATGAGATAACTCAAGATTTCAAAACAGGAAGTCATTCGTGAAAGCCTTCGGAGGTGCCACCGCATTGTTTATTACAGCTGAAGCTGTAGTTACAGCATAGCTGGAGGGCCTGCGCATATCACCACTGCGCCTATGCTGTGATGTGTGTCTCCTCAAAAAAATCAAAGTAGTTTTTGGGTCTACAACAGCTTTTGTTTTCTGAAAAAGCTTCCCGTGCTTGTGGAGATTGCTGTGGCATGTTTTGATAGTTAAGATTAAACAAATAAGTTAAATTCTCCATCGCTGTCAGGAAGAGTCAATAAAATGTAATGGAAATCTAACTGACATGCCTTTACTGTAGTGTCGCAGTAGGTGAAATCAGATGCTGGGCTGTACCATATATAAAAAAGCTGCGGGTCATGCAATTAAACCTCGGCATCGAAAAAATCAGTGATATGATATGAAACAATGATATGTCAGATCTTATATAAAAGGGAAAAAAACACATTTACAGACTGGAAATCTAAAGGGTTTCCTCTCAAACCGAAAACAGCTGCTTTTTAAGGTGAAGCCAGCTCATTTGGAAGACGGTGAAATTCTAACCGGGCAACGTAACTGCATACATTGCTGCTGCGATGGCTTATAAACCGTATCTTACCTACTCTGTGCAAATATTTTCTACTTAATGGATAGTGCTTTCAGCAAAGCAATATACAGTAGTTACAGTTATTGACCTCTATGTTTTATTGAACTCTGTATTTATTAAACTCTTGGGGGTGATAACACTGAGCTCTTTCCCGCTGAGTCACACCGACTCTCGCTTCTTACATAATGTTTTTCCATTATAAGCTCACGACAACGACATGAGGTGCACATATGTAATAAAATGTCCACCAAATAGGCAAGACATAAAATTGCTGTTAGACTTTTTTATGTTTGCTTTGAGGCAAATTACATGTTGGACTCATTCCTATTTGAAGATTTCAGCTACATTACCATCTGTTGCTGTAATTAATTATCCACAAAATCAACTTGACATGCGTTTTAATTACATATGCATATTTTCATAAAAAATATATACCAATCCTCTCTACGGACTATTAATAAGAATATCACACCATGCCAGAGGGGTAAAAAACTCAAACTTGAAATGTGGTGGTGACATTTTAAATTTAACATTAATTTCGCAAATGCTGACTAATTGAGTGTTGAAGGGCAGGTATTTATATTATTTTAATCTTTTTCTCGTTTTCTTGCTTTTTCTCAGTGTGTCTCTTAGAAGCTGTTTGAGGCTGAAGTTGTGACGTGATTCCTTCCTGCACTCTCGTCACAGCTTCGACAAACAAAGGTGAATTTTAATGTCAGGCCGAGAGAAAAGCAGCCATAGTGGTGTTGCTTGAACACAAACATTATATTGTGTACTACTTGTACTTTTCCTGCTGTTTGAGGGACCCTACAAATGTAGAAAACATACAAATTTAAAAGCCGGCTGAGCAGTGAGTTCACACCCAGGGCAGACATACTGCTAGTGACACACTTAACAGCTACTCGTCCCGCAGCCATGTAGGTAACATAAAGAAATGATGAGGACAGTCTGACATCAGGATTTGCTGTGCTGCTCTTCCTTACATTATATGTACACATCATCCACAGTGGATTTTAATTCAAACAATAAAGATGTGGCTAAAGTGCAGACTGTCATCTTTAAGAGAGGAAACAAATGCTGTGTTTCCTCCCTTGAGATGCTTTGCCAGGCTTTAACTGTAACATCCTATTTGTTTTAGGTTGACAAACTCTTGGGTTGCTTTTGCAGTATGCTTTGGGTCATTAGCCATATGACTGTGAAGTGCAGCCAATCAGTTTTACAGCATTTGTCTGAATCTGAGCAGAGAGCATGGCCCTGTACTCTTCAGAAATCATCCTGCTACTTCTATCTGCAGTCATATCATACATGGTCGTTTCATAAGACTGCCTGTACCATGTTTGACAGATGATGTGGTATGCTTCAGATCAATAGCTGTTTTCTTCTCTAGACTTCTCTCTTCTCATCCTTCTGGCACAAATTACTCTTGGTTGCATCTGTCTAAAGATTATTGTTATTAAAAGTCTAATCTGGCCTTCTTGTTCTTGAGTGTAACCAGTGTTTTGTACCTGTTATTCTAAACCCTCTGTATTTCTATTACATGAAGTGTTGTGAATTTGTCTTTTTTCTTTCAGTTGTCTTTCTTGGAAATATTTCAAGAAATGGAAAAAAGGTTTCTGGCACAAGTTTAGCTACTTGTAAGTGTAATATATTCGTGTCATCATCCATCCTTTAGCCTATGATTGCTTCCTTCACTTGTTTAAACATCTCTTTGGATCTCATATTGAGTGAAAAGACACCAAACACAAGTTCAACACTTGGAGCTTGAGCTCTTTTATCTGCTTAATTTAAACAAGCCTAAACTTAGCTAATTATAGGCCAATCTCCAACCTTCCTTTCCTATCGCTTGTCCTGCTAGACTTCAGTACAGCGTAGGGCTGGGCCATATCATACCATTCACGGTAATACCGGTATAATGTTGGGCAATGATAAGAAAATGAAATATCGCGATAGAATATGGGTAAAACGTGCATGCGCAGTGCCTTTGTTTTCATACGCACATGGCGGAAAAATAGCACGGCGGCGACAGAGAATGAGAAGAGCGAAAGTGGATCGTTAAATGAAACGAATGAACCAGAATTGGTTTGTAAAAATGTTGCAACTTCAGTGGTGTGGAACTGGTTTGGCTTTCGTCCGTCAGATACACAACAAAGCACTATTTTTGGTAGAGCATGCTAGCGGGCCGTTGTTATTACCGTGTTGTTTGGAAAATACAGCACACTTAAAATCAATCCTTTGATTTTTCTGAAAATCGACAGTGCCCCTTATAATCCCATGTGCCTTATGTATGAATTCTGGTTGTGTTTACTGACCTCGAAACGATTTTATGTACACGGCGCTCGAAAATCTGTCAAGTGTTTCAGTACGACTTTGCTAAGCTGGGAACCCGCAATGCTTGATGGATTGTTGTAGCATTACGGCTGTCATAGGCAGGAGCCTCACGGAGTGATACGTACTGTGCTTCAACATATAATACCGTATTGTGTGTGTGTATAACCTCTTTTTAACCCTCCTGTTATGTTGCGGGTCAGATTCACCCAGAACAGAAGAGATGTCATATGTCATCTGCATCACTACAGAAAACAAACAAAAAAACCCATCTAAATTATAAAACAAAATTGTAAAATAATCAATGCCAGTGTTTCTGACACTTTTGGATGAGTAAACATGCCCCGGGTCAAATTGACCCAGGAACATAATTAGTGTTCCTGGAAACCAACATAACAGGAGGGTTAAGTTTTGTGGATAGTCTACATGGTTAGGGTTATGGTTTTCACTGGAAATGCCTTTTGGTTAAACTGTCAGCAAGGAATTTGCATTTGCACAGTTACATTTTTATATAACTTTAATGCAAATAAAAAACAGCTGCTTGTTTAAGTGAAAATACATTGATGGGGTTTTTTTGCACTAATAAAGTTGTGGAGTTGTAAAGTATTTTGTCTAGTGTCAATTATATCGTCAGTTATATCGTTATCGCAAACTTTCAAATGTATATCGTGATAAATATTTTTGGTCATATCGCCCTGCTCTAGTGCAGTGTTCAATACTGTTGACCATAATATTCTAGTTAGAGCATGCTGTAGGTATTTCAGGTACTGCGCTGCAGTGGGTTGTATCATATCTATCTAATAGACTCCAATTTGTACATGTAAATGGAGAGTCCTCTTCACACACTAAGGTTAATTATGGAGTTCCACAGGGTTCAGTCCTAGGACTAATTCTGTTTAAATTATACATGCTTCCCTTAGGCAGTATCATTAGAAGACATAGCATACATTTTCACTGCTATGCAGATGACACCCAGCTCTATCTGTCCATGAAGCCAGGTAACACACACCAATTAGTTAAACTGCAGGAATGTCTTAAAGACATAAAGACCTGGACGGCCACTAACCTTCTGCTTCCTAATTCAGATAAAACTGAGGTTATTGTACTCGGCCCTGAAAAGCTTAGAAATATGGTGTCTAATCAGATTCTTACTCTGGATGGCATTACCTCGGCCTCCAGTAACGCTGTGAGGAACCTTGGAGTCATTTTTGACCAGGACATGTCCTTCAATGCACATATTAAACAAATATGTAAGACTGCTTTCTTCCATTTGTGCAACATCTCTAAAGTTAGAAATATCCTGTCTCAGAGTGACGCTGAAAAACTAGTTCATGCATTTATTACTTCCAGGCTGGACTAGTGTAATTCATTATTATCAGGATGTCTAAAAAACTCGCTGAAAAGCCTTCAGCTGATCCAAAATGCTGCAGCAAGAGTCCTGACAGGGACTAGAAAGAGAGAGCATATTTCTCCTGTTTTGGCTTCCCTTCATTGGCTTCCTGTTAAATCCAGAGTTGAATTCAAAATCCTGCTCCTCACATACAAGGTCTTAAATAATCAGGCCCCATCTTATCTTAATGAGCTTGTAGTACCATATCACCCTATTAGAGCACTTCGCTCTCGCTCTGCAGGCCTACTTGTTGTTCCTAGAGTATTTAAAAGTAGAATGGGAGGGAGAGCCTTCAGTTTTCAGGCCCCTCT